ATGTATGTAGTAACCTAATGTAAATACCTAATTGTGCTTACGGGAAAGAGCCCCGAGCTCGTAGCTTCCTGTCTCCTTATCGGTTCCATTTTCTACTTAGTAATACTTATCATACTTGTCCTTAAAACTATGGACTGAGTTAGCATTAACTACATCCTCGCTTAGCCAATTCCAATTATCAACTACTCTTACACTAAAAAAGTACTTACTTACATTCAGCAAAGAAGCTTTCTTACGAAGCTTCAAACTATGACCTCTAGTTCTAGTGCCAGCCACATCAAAATATCGATCCCTATCCACTCTGTCATAACCATGAAGGAATTTAAAAACTGTCACCATATCCCCCCTCAATCTTTCAGCTTTGAGTGATGAAAAGTCTAATTCCCTCATCCTCTCATCATAACTGAGATTGCATATTTCTGGCACCAATTTCGTGACATGTCTTAGAACTTTTTCCAGCTTAACTACGTGCTTTCTCAAGTACGGATTCCAAAAGGGGGCTGCATATTCAAGTTTTGGCCTCATATAGGTTACATAAATATTTCTGAAAATTTTCTTGTCCATGTGCCTGAAGGCTACCCTTACATTTGATAAGAAAGCATATGCTGCCCTTACTATACCATTTATATGCATTTCTGGAGACAAATCTGCCATTATGTTTACTCCTAGCTATCTCTCATTCTCTTTCTCTTGAAGTTCTACTTCTGCCACTGAGTGATCTAGTTTGGGCCTTCTTACACTTCTTCCCATTCTCACTGCCTTACATTTTGAAGTATTGAATTTCACTAGCCACTTTTCTGACCACTCATCCAGACTGCTTAGATCTTCCTGAAGTTCTCTACCATTGTTCTCGTTTCTTACTTTCTCAACAATCTTTGCATTATTGGCAAATATATTCATGAATGAATTTACAGACTCTGGTAGGTTATTTACATATACAAGGAACAAAAGTGGCACTAAAACTAACCCTGTGGAACCCCACTACTAACTCATCTCCATTTAGACACTGTCTTACTCTAACCCTCTGTTCCCTTCCTTCTAAGTAAATTTTTATCCATTTCAAGACATTTCCACCTATTCTTGCCCTTGCTTGCAGCTTCTTAATAAGTCTCCCATGTGGGACAGTGTCAAATGCTTTCTGGAAGTCTAGGAATATGCAATCTGTCCAGCCCTCTCTTTCCTGTAAGATTCGGCTTACCTCTTCATAAAATTCAAAGTTTGTTACTGTTGATCTACATTCTCTGAACCCATGTTGTCTCACTGACAAAAAGTTGAAGGATTCCAAGTGAAGAGAGATATGTTTACTTAGTAGTTTCTCCATAAGTTTGCAAACTATGCTGGTCAAGGAAACAGGTCTATAGTTTAGAGCCGCATCCCTGCTTCCATTTTTGAAGATAGGTATCACGTTCTCTTATTTCTAGCATCTTGGAATCTCCCCTGACTCCAGTGACTTTTCAAGTATGATACTTAGTGCCGCTGTTATTGAATTTGCGCATTTTTTAAGTACATGAGGAGACATATCATCAATACCTGTAGCTTTATAGACATGTTGCTCCATCAGCACTTTGGATACCTATGTGACTGAAAAGATGATGTCTAATACCCTCCCATGAGCTTCTATCTCTGCCATCTAAGGGGGTTGGGAATTTTCTACTGCAAATACTGACTGAAACTCCTTGTTCAATTCTTTGCAGATCTCTTCATCCGTCTCGATGATGCTTCCATCTGCTCTAAGTTTTGAAACCTGTTCTTTTATCTTCAGTTTTCCTCTGATAAAGCTGTGAAAAGTTTGAGATTATCTTTGGCCGTCTTGGTGATGTCCTTTTCATAGTCTCTCTCTGCCTCTCTTCTTTTACTTAGGTAATAATTTCTTGCTCTTTTATAGGTCTGCCAGGCATTTATGTTTTTTCTTCGGCTATCCCTTTTTCAACATTTGTCTCTCCACTACTTAGCTCTTTTACACAGATTATCAAACCATTTCCCTTTGGCATGAACTACACCTACTTTGGTGGCAGGTATGCAGCCATCTACTGTGTTCCCATATTTCTTACAAAAGATATACATTTCTAGTACAGATTTGTTGTTAAATAAGGTCCTCCAGTCAATAACTGCATAAAGCTTATTCATTTTGATGAAATCTCCTTTCGGATAGTTCCTCCTCATGTCCTCAGCACATCTACTCTCAGGCAGAACATTTTCAATGACACACTCCATCAACAACACACAGTGGTCACTCTTTCTTATTGGTGGTCCATACTCAATACTTTCAATATCCAGCACGTTATCTGTGAATACTAGATCAAGTAGCGATGGTTCATCCCCACTCTGGCCCTCGTTGGTTCCATTACATGTTGGTGTAGAAATTTCCCCTGTACGCAATCTAGGAATCTTGCCCCGAATGAGTCCTCATCACTGTGTGGGTCAAGATTTATGCAATCTATCTCTTTATGATCAAAAACTCCCATGATAAAAATCCCTCATTTTCTCTCCCATGCAGTGTTAACGACTGATTTTATGACTTCAATATTACCTAAATGACTTTCCTCATAAACTTCTATCCTATGTTGGTTCCTTGGTGGGTTATAACAACAGTTATTATAATGCTCTCTGACCCAATATTTATGCGAGGAACAAGAAATTCCTTGAACTCACTTTGTATAGTAAAGTTTATTTCTTCATCCTGAATCCTTTCACTCATGAGCAGTGCTATCCCTCCACCAGTCCTCTCAGATATTTCAACCCTTAGATTCTGAAGCCCCTAGGAAAAACTCTGACACTGTGTATGTCCTCACTCAATTTAGCTTCTGTAATTGCCACTATATCTGCCTTACTGTTGTGAATCCTATCTTTTACTTCTACTGCATTACCAGCTAATCCATCATCATTTGTGTATAACAATCTTAATGAGGCCCCATCTCTTGATCATCTATCATTATCCCCATTATTTCCCCTTTGTCTGGAAGAACTCTGAAAAGAAAATTTTTCTTCTCTTCTTCATTTCTTTTCTCATTTAACCTTCTTGCCTCTGACAACAAGTTTTTTATATCCCGTCCAATTCTTCCTGTGTTTCGTATCATCTAATAAACACTATTTTGATATTTTGAAGGTCTTTTAGGCTTTTTTTCCTCATCAATATTTCTCTACATGTGTCCCCTCTCTCAAAGATTACTCTCGTTGGTCTTTGCTTTCCCTCCTTAGAATATTTACCTAGTTGGTGAATGTTTATAATATACTCAGGACCACATACTACTCCAAGCTTTCTTGTAAGGGCTAAAATCCTAGTTTTATTTTCTTCAAGTCACCCCTGCCTTGTTGGCTCCTAGAAATTGCTTATGCCTGAGATTACCACTGTCTTCTCTTTATCAAGTGCCTGTTTTAATCAGTGGATTTGCCCTTTCCATCACATCGTATTTAATTTTTTCAATTACTGTTGCTTTATAGTCAACTGTTTGTATGTTTTCCAGTGCCATCCATGGATGGATGGATGTATGTATGTATGTACGTACGTAAGCACTCATGTATGTATGTATGTATGTATGTATGTATGTATGTATGTATGTATGTATGTATGTATGTATGTATGTATGTATGTATGTATGTATGTATGTATGTATGTATGTATGTAGTAGTCAGTCTCTCTCTCTCTCTCTCTCTCTCTCTCTCTCTCTCTCTCTCTCTCTTTCTCTATCTATCTATCTATCTATCTATCTATCTATCCATCTATTTATCTATCTATCTATCTATCTATCTATCTATCTATCTATCTATCTACCTATATGTATATATATATATATATATATATATATATATATATATATATATATATATATATATATATATATATATATATATATATTGAATGAAAATGTACTCAAGGGCCATTATCCCCCATTTAAGATGGTGGCTGAATCGAAGCAGAACTTTGAATCTATGCAGGTGGAAAATAGGAAGGATGGGATTCCTAGTCCCCAGGCATCGCCCGAATTAGTGTGCTTTTGCGACTAGGAGGGGAATCTGAATTCAGTATTATTATCTCCCACTCAAGGAGACAGAACAAAGAAAACGCACAGTAAGAGAAAAAGCAAAAATGAAACTATGGGAGGCAGAGGTATATACTGAGGGCAATAGTTCGGAGGCACGACAATCACCCCTTAGGACAGCTGCCCCCTAGGACAATAACAAATGCCCCCAAAGACAATCACCCCAGGACACTAGCCCTTAACCTAACCTAGCTTTACCTAACCTAAGTCATGTACTAAATAATACACTTTTCACACTTAACTCATTTTCGTTCATCATTTCGTAATTATATGAAATATTTCACTTTAATATTATCAAGGGGTAATTGTCCAATTTTGCATTAAGAGTCAATTGGCATTGTCCCAAGGGGTAATCGTTCTAGGGGTAAGTGTCCTAAGGGACAACTATCCGTACCACCAATTTCATTAGGCTAAAACAAATGTATCGTCAAAGCGGCAAAATAAAAATATGCAGCATAGAAATGAAATTCATTTGTCAGGGAGAGAGAGAGAGAGAGAGAGAGAGAGAGAGAGAGAGAGAGAGAGAGAGAAGAGAGAGAGAGAGAGAGAGAGAGAGAGAGAGAGAGAGAGAGAGAGAGAGAGAGAGAGAGAGAGAGAGAGAGAGAGAGAGAGAGAGAGAGAGAGAGAGAGAGAGAGTTTTATTTAGAAAGAAATCTAATTAGCATATTCATTTTCTCTATTGATTTTTGTTGTTGATTTTTTATATTGGATTTTTTGTGCATAAATATTTGCATGTCCTGAGGCCAGTCTAACCTAAATGAATTATTTCATATAGGAATGTGTATGCTTGTTTGTTCTGTGCTCTCTCTCTCTCTCTTTCTCTCTCTCTCTCTCTCTCTCTCTCTCTCTCTCTCTCTCTCTCTCTCTCTCTCTCTCCCTCTCTCTCTCTCTTAGTCCCCAGTCGAATAGGGGTGGACACAGACATGTTGAAGTTAGTGGAATAAGTTTAAATACCCTCTCTGACGCCCATAGGCGGGATCGAACCTACGTTAGACAGGCTTTTCACTCCTCGACTCACGCGCTCTACCACTGAGCTACAGCCTCTCTGTCATACACACATAAGAACATAAGAACATAAGAATAGAGGACACTGCAACATGGCTATTGGCACACACGAGGCAGCTCCATTTTTGAATTGTATTTTCAGCATGTCTAACCTATTCTATTCTACTCTACTTATTTATTCTATTTTTCTTTTTATGATTTTTCTAATAAGCACTAACCTATTCATACCCACCCTACCTCTGTCATATGTCTATCTAATCTACATTTGAAGGTGTCTAAGGTATTGGCATTTACTATCATACTAGGAAGCTTGTTCCATGCATCAGCTACTCTATTACCAAACCAATTTTTACCAATTTCCCTTCTGAACCTAAATTTATCAAGCTTAAATCCATTATTACGAGTTCTGGTTTGATCATGAATTTTTAATACTTTATTAATATCTCCCTTGTTAATCCCTTTAAACCATTTATACACTTCAATCATATCCCCCCTAACTCTTCGCCTCTCTAGAGAATGTAGATTAAGTTTTTTTAATCTGTCCTCATATGGTAGATTTCTGATATTGTGTATCATCTTGGTCATTCTTCGCTGCACTCTTTCCAAGGATTCAATTTCCATTCTATAATAGGGTGACCAGAATTGCACAGCGTAATCTAAATGGGGCCTAACTAATGCAAGATAGAGCTGCAAAATAACTTTTTCCGTCCTATTGCTAACGCTTCTTGAGATAAATCCTAAAATTCTGTTTGCTTTATTTCTGACTGCTGTGCATTGCTCTCTTGGCTTAAGACTACTACTCACAAGAACTCCCAAATCCCTTTCACACTGAGAACTCATGATTTCATGGTTATTTAGCTTATAACTAGTATTGTCTTTTATAGTACCCATTTTAACTACTTTACATTTTTCAACATTAAATTCCATTTGCCATTTGTCCGACCATTCAGATAATCTATTTAGATCTTCCTGTAAAGCATGAATGTCTTCTTTTCCATTTATAGTTCTACCTATTTTAGTGTCGTCTGCGAATTTACTTAGGTTACTACTGATATCCGAATCCAGATCATTTAGATATATGATGAATAATAGGGGACCCAGTACCGAGCCTTGTGGTACCCCGCTAGTAACCGAGCCCCACTCTGATTTCTCTCCATTTATGCAAACCCTCTGTTTTCTGTCTTTTAACCATTGTTTGATCCATCTGAGCACAGCTCCTCCTATACCATGAGCTTCCAGCTTTTTAACTAATCTTTTGTGAGGAACTCTATCAAAAGCTTTGCTAAAATCTAGATATATTGTATCATATTCTTTGCCACAATCTACTGCCTCGTAAACTTCTGAATAAAAAGACAGTAAGTTTGTAAGGCACGAAAAACCCTTAAGAAACCCGTGTTGTGAAAGTTTTATCAGTCTGTGTAATTCTAGATGTGCCCTTATTTTATTTGCAATTATGGATTCTAGAATCTTACCCACTGTTGACGTTAAACTTACCGGCCTATAATTATTCTTTTTAACACGTTCTCCTTTTTTAAATATTGGTACCACATCTGCCAATTTCCACTCCATGGGTACCGATCCTAATATTATTGAATTATTAAATAATGCAGTTAGAGGACAACTAAGCTCTTCCTTGCATTCCTTTAATATTCTAGCATATATTCCATCAGGTCCCGGAGATTTATGAGCCTTTAATTTATCTATTTCTCTTTTTACCTCCTCTCTCGTAATATTTATTGAACTAAGTATATTATCGGGACTGTCTCTGTAAATGGATTCTACTTCCGGAATATTTTCCAAGTTTTCATTTGTAAATACAGATAAGAAATAATCATTTAAACATGTACACATCACTTTATCGTCATCTGTGATATGGCCATTGGCTACTTCAATTGGTCCGACTTTTTCCTTAAATTTTGTTTGATAATGTTGATAAAACCCTTTAGGATTTTCTTTAGCTTCTCCTGCTATTCTAATTTCGTATTTTCTTTTCGACTCTCTAACTATCTTTTTAACTTCCCTGTTTAACTGTATATATTGTTGCCTCACATGCTCTTCACCTCTTTTTAGTTTCCTGTATATTCCTCTTTTAATACCTATAAGATTCTTTATTCTATTGTTCATCCATTTAGGGTCATTTTTTCTTGATCTGCAATGTTTCATGGGAATATAGTCTCTCTGACTATTCTTAAGAGTCATGACAAAATTGTTATATTCCTCATCCAAAATTATATTAACTGACGGGCTGTTGTTCTTTCCTGTGAGATAATTTAATGTATTGATCTTATCTTGTGATAATCCTTGGCATGTGGTACTCAAATTTCGGGGTAATCCGCTACTTGCGACCTGACCTGCTGGATTAACTACCCACATCTGTACCCCAGAAATCCCTTCCCATACCTCATTAGATAATTTAGTTTTTAAGCCCTCAAAATCTCCTGCTCTAAAGTTTGGAACAATATTCTTATTTTCCTTTATAGTTTCCTTGAAAATTATGTTAAATCTAATGGAATCATGGTCACTGTTGCCCAATTTTTCACCAACTTCTAAATTTGTAACCATATTCTCTCTATTACTAAGAACTAAATCTAGTGTATTCACCCCCCGTGTTGCTTCATGTACATGCTGAGAAAGGAAATTGTCTTCTACTACTTCCAAAAACTCCTTAGAGCTACTATCACCTGTTATGGTTTCCCAGTTAATATGTCTAAAATTAAAATCGCCTACAATGCAAACTCTATTTGACCTGCTCACTTTAGAAATTTCATCGTATATAACTTGCGACTCTATATTATCTAGATCAGGTGGTCTGTAGACTACTCCTACAACTAGACTTTCTATATTATTTTTAATTTCAACCCATAAGGTTTCTGAATTTAGATTTGTCTTAATTCCAGACTTAATGCAGCTTCTGAGGCTATCTTTAATATACATAATTACCCCTCCCCCTCTTTTATCTGCACTACGATCAGCATTATATATTTTCTTTCAGCATATCACCATATCCCGATGAAGCCAGCAGGATGGCTACAACTGACTTAAACTCTACCATCCCTATGAGGTGATCTGTGGTTAATAGGATTGGTCAAGAAATCTCGATGTTAATTCTTCCTTCGGTTACAATTCTTATCTTATGCCTGTAGTGAGAGACCGGATATAATATGCATTAGTGAAAGTTGGATTAATTTAGAAAGCAAACACCTTAAAGCTGAGTACATAATTACAGGATATAAACTTTATAATGCTGATCGTAGTGCAGATAGAAGAGGGGGAGGGGTAATTATGTATATTAAAGATAGCCTCAGAAGCTGCATCAAGTCTGGAATTAAGACAACTCTAAATTCAGAAACCTTATGGGTTGAAATTAAAAATAATATAGAAAGTCTAGTTGTAGGAGTAGTCTACAGACCACCTGATCTAGACGATATGGAGTCGCAAGTTATATACGATGAAATTTCTAAAGTGAGCAGGTCAAATAGAGTTTGCATTGTAGGCGATTTTAATTTTAGACATATTAACTGGGAAACCATAACAGGTGATAGTAGCTCTAAGGAGTTTTTGGAAGTAGTAGAAGACAATTTCCTTTCTCAGCATGTACTTGAAGCAACACGGGGGGTGAATACACTAGATTTAGTTCTTAGTAATAGAGAGAATATGGTTACAAATTTAGAAGTTGGTGAAAAATTGGGCAACAGTGACCATGATTCCATTAGATTTAACATAATTTTCAAGGAAACTATAAAGGAAAATAAGAATATTGTTCCAAACTTTAGAGCAGGAGATTTTGAGGGCTTAAAAACTAAATTATCTAATGAGGTATGGGAAGGGATTTCTGGGGTACAGATGTGGGTAGTTAATCCAGCAGGTCAGGTCGCAGGTAGCGGATTATCCCAAAATTTGAGTACCACATGCCAAAGATTATCACAAGATAAGATCAATACATTAAATTCTCTCACAGGAAAGAACAGCAGTCCGTCAGTTAATATAAATTTGGATGAGGAATATAACAATTTTGTCATGACTCTTAAGAATAGTCAGAGAGACTATATTCCCATGAAACCTTGCAGATCAAGAAAAAATGACCCTAAATGGATGAACAATAGAATAAAGAATCTTATAGGTATTAAAAGAGGAATATACAGGAAACTAAAAAGAGGTGAAGAGCAGGTGAGGCAGCAATATATACAGTTAAACAGGGAAGTTAAAAAGATAGTTAGAGAGTCGAAAAGAAAATACGAAGTTAGAATAGCAGGAGAAGCTAAAGAAAATCCTAAAGGGTTTTATCAACATTATCAAACAAAATTTAAGGAAAAATTCGGACCAGTTGAAGTAGCCAATGGCCATATCACAGATGACGATAAAGTGATGTGTACATAAGAACATAAGAATAGAGGACACTGCAACATCCTACTGGCACACACGAGGCAGCTCCATTTTTGAATTGTATTTTCAGCATGTTTAACCTATTCAATTCTACTCTACTTATTTATTCTATTTTTTCTTTTTATGGTTATTCTAACAAGCACTAACCTATTCATACCCACCCTACCTCTGTCATATGTCTATCTAATCTACATTTGAAGGTGTCTAAGGTATTGGCATTTACTATCCTACTAGGAAGCTTGTTCCATGCATCAGCTACTCTATTACCAAACCAATTTTTACCAATTTCCCTTCTGAACCTAAATTTATCAAGCTTAAATCCATTATTACGAGTTCTGGTTTGATCATGAATTTTTAAAACTTTATTAATATCTCCCTTGTTAATCCCTTTAAACCATTTATACACTTCAATCATATCCCCCCTAACTCTTCGCCTCTCTAGAGAATGTAGATTAAGTTTTTTTAATCTGTCCTCATATGGTAGATTTCTGATATTGTGTATCATCTTGGTCATTCTTCGCTGCACCCTCTCCAAGGATTCAATTTCCATTCTATAATAGGGTGACCAGAATTGCACAGCATAATCTAAATGGGGCCTAACTAATGCAAGATAGAGCTGCAAAATAACTTTTTCCGTCCTATTGCTAACGCTTCTT